CTTTCCTGCGAAGCTGGGACTACAGGAAAGAAAAGAACAGTAAATTGCTTTGGATCATGGCTAGTGTTTCTCTGGTAGCTCCTCTCATCTAGCTACCAAAGGCATGCACTAAACACAAGCTGTAGCGTGAAATAACATGCAGAGGCGAGCTACAATATTTCAGCAAAAAATCTCTTTTTATGCAAAGTCCTTAAAGTCTCTCTCACATACACTTTATTATTATTATTTACTATCATTACATCAACGTTAGTTACTAGGTCTGCAAGGAAAAGTCCAAGTAAATGTAATTCTGGCTAGACGCTTTGCTGATTGTGCCCGTCTTAAAGCAGAACTGTTCCTGTGCTGCACACGCAAACACACCTCTTCTCATTTTTCTCCCAAGACGATAAAACCTAGGACTGAACTGATGAGCAAAATCACGGAATGGACGTTTTCCTTGAGAGCGCTCAGCTTTGAGGGGATCATTTGTAAAACTCGAGGAAGCCTGAATGGCTCAAGTTTGATGAAACGGCTCTCTTGCCTTTCCATGTCCAAACACTTCCTTTCCCATGATTCCCAACACCTGACCACAAAAGAAGACTAGCAGCTAAAAGGTTATTTTACCCTAATTCATGTGCAGTAAAATGTATTTTCCAATTAACCAAATTTGCCGATTTGTCCCGCTTGGACACTCTTATAATTTATAATGTAAAAGTGTTCTTTCTTTATCTAAAGACCAAGGTGACTGCTTTTAATTTTCTGTAACCTCTTTACACTTGATGTTCACCAGACTCATAATGTTAATTGGCTTCATATACGGATCATCAGTTTAATGAAGGAATAAATCCTATGTTGCTTTATGTCCCTCTGTTTTAACAATGATTGCTTTAATGAAGAATGTGACGTGTTTGAAATCAAAGCTGCAGGAGACATTAGAGGGTTTTTTTTTTTATGGTGACTGAAATGCTTATTTAAAGCTAAAACCATGAGGTTTCCATATTTCAAAAGCTTCTCTTTAAATCGTTTTCCATGGAAAATACTGACACATTCTTCAGCAAAGAACTTTTTCTTTGTAATTGTGAGGAGAGACTGAGGATAACACAGTTTTGCAATATAAACATCCCAATTAGGTTACGAAAATCTCTCTGAGCTGATTTTATACCACTGCAGTTTTCATTCAGAGTTTAAGTAAAACTCCTAGTGAGTTCAAAAGGAGTTATGCCTGCCTAAATAAGGAGTATTTGGGGGTAACTAATACATCTCTTAGTCAACCTACTGTATTTTCATTGTTCACGTGTAGATGGAGAAAAG